AAAGGGTTAGAATAGAAATTGTGCTTCAGTAATTTTGCGTTAATTGCGTTAAATTATTTTAACGCGTTAAGGATTGTTAAATTAATCGCATGCATTAACGCGTTAATGTTGACAGCACTAATTATGACAAAATTACATAATTATGATGTTGTCAAAATTTAAATGCTAAATCATAATTTTGAGATACCAAGTCATCATTCTGAGACAAAAGTCAATATTATGGCATAAAAGCCATAATTATAATATTAAGTCAAAATTATGAAATTAGTCATTATGACATGAAAAGGCCTAATTATGATGTTGAAACATAAACATAAAAATTTTTAAAAACATAAAAATGTATGACATAAAAAGTCAATTATAATACTAAGACATAATTGAGATGCTAAGTCAGAATTATGAGATAAGTCGTTATTATGACAAAATTACATAATTATGATATTAAGTCAAAATTGAGATACTAACTCATCATCATTATGAGATACCAAGTCATCATTCTGAGACAAAAGTCATAATTATGATATTAAGTCAAAATTATGAGATACCAAGCCATCTTTCAGAGACAAAAGTCAATATTATGGCATTAAAGCCATAATTATAATATTAAGTCAAAATTATGAGATACTAAGTCATAATTATGAAATTAAAGTCATTATGACATGAAAAGGCCTAATTATGATAAGTTGAAACAAAAACATAAAAATGTATGACATAAAAAGTCAATTATAATACTAAGTTAGAATTGAGATACTAAGTCAGAATTATGAGATAAGTCATTATTATGACAAAATGTCATAATTATGATATTAAGTCAAAATTGAGATACACGTACTAAATCATTAAGAGATACCAAGTCATCTTTCAGAGACAAAAGTCATTATGGCATAAAATAACATAATTATGATATCAAGCTGAAATTATGAGATACTAAGTTATCATTATGAGATAAAGGTCATTATTATAACAAAGTTATTTACAATATTGAATCAAAATTGACATACTAAATCATCATTATAAGATAAAGTCGAAATTGTTACAGTAAGTCATAATTCTGATATAAAAACTCATAATTATGACAAAAAAGTCAAATTATAACTTAATTATGTCATATTTCCCACTTTTTCCCCTCACATTTGAATGTGTCGATGTCCTGCCAATAACAAACTGCAGCTGTGCAATATTTTCAAAGCACTGACGCATCACAAGCACGACAGAATTTGTGTTGGACAGGAATTTTCTATTTGAAGCAAAAAGACCATGTCGAACCCGAGAAAACACGCACGGTTGAGGACGCTGGCGGTAACCAATCTAAGATAAGCAGCGAGCGCACAGCTGGATCAGCGTGAGCCGCTGTACATATGAAATGTCATCTTGCTCTGGCTGAGAAGCGGTGAAATGGGTTCAGCAGCAACAAGATCGAGATAAAGCAAGAGAAGATGAATCTGCTAACACCTCTAAAAACCAGAAGAAACAAATGATGTTCCAGTAGAGGTGCACTTAAAAGTAGCAAGAGATCTTTTCTTCTGTATGGTGACGTATATATCCAAGTGGACATAAGAAAACTCTCAAAGAAGAAACTTCACAACATTAAACTGGGCCAGAATGCCTCCTGAAGGAAAAAACAGCTCATATCAAGCTGGTTAAAATAAAATAAAAATAAAAAAATAATAAAATAAAATAAAAAATATTCAGCAGAAGGGTACACAATAAAATATCAAATAATTTTTAAAATAAAAAAATAACAACTATTCTGCAGATGGGTAAAAAAAAATTTTTTTATTAAAAATAAAAATTTAAAAATGAGAAGGTTTAAAAAAAGAAGAGTAAAAAATAAAAATAAAAGGTTTCAACTGTATTTTGCAGAAGGTACAAAAATAAATACAAATAAGTATATGTTTTAACTATATTAAATAATAAAAATAAGTATAAGTTTTAACTGTATTTGTAACTGTACAAAATAAAATAGAATACATAAATAGATATATTTTAAACAATTCAATTAAAATTAAAAGTAGGGTTTAACTGTATTTTGCACCATGGCATGAGGAAAACAACTGTAAAACTAGATCACTGTCATGAATAAAATAAAATAAAATAGATTTTAACTATATTTTGCAGCAGGATGAAAAAACTAAATAATTTAAAAAAGAAAAACAATATATAAGTAGTAGGTTTTAACTATTTTGCAGAAGGGTATACAAATTATTTATAACAAAAAAAATGTAAACATTAAAATAAAATAAATTCATATTAAATTTATTAAAATAAATAAAAGTAGAAATTAATAAAAAAAAAAATTTAAAGGGGTCATATGATGCGATTTCAATTTTTCCTTTCTCTTTGGAGTGTTACAAGCTCTTGGTGCATAAAGAAGATCTGTAAAGTTGCAAA